TTGAAGTCGGGATGGAGTCAGGCATAGCTGAACTGCTGGAAGAAGAGGCCCTGGCTAATGCTGCAGGCTATATTAACAGCTTCTCATTTGTGTAGGCCTTCCTATGTATTTTTGTCTGCCTTGTAAATTAGGAGTTCCTTGGGGGTAGGAAAACTGTGTCCATCCATCTGTTTGTACAAGCACTCTCATTAGTATTTGAACACTCATCCCCTCAAATGCTGCCTGATCCCTATCTCTCCTCTTTGGAGTGGAGTTGAGGGGGCTTGGCTGGCAGCATGTGCAGTTCTCAAGGTGGTGCAGCAGCTGCTCTTTGTACGCTGCCTCCCAGAGCTCCTGCTAAGCAGTATTTACTGTGAACCCCGTGCAGACGGGTTTTTTTAGGGCACAGCTGTCACTGTGGTACTATATATTCACCCAGTGTACCCATCCCCTCACAACAGAGCGTAGTAAGAATTCTCTCTAGTGTGCTGGAAAGAACATGTGATACTTCCAGCCTGCCAACTTGCTTTAAGCTGGGGATGTTGGAAGTCAGATGTCTGTCTTGTAGGAAATTTATGAGGGCTGAAAATTCACATCTCTGAAGCAGCACATATTCCTCTGCTTTTCTGAGCAGTGAGATGTTTGGTTTTTCAAGATAAAATCTGTGCTTGGGCTTGAGGCACTAAAGAACTACTATTAACATTAGATCTGTTGGTGTTACCCTGGATTGGATTTTGTAAATCAATTGACAGAAAGAGCTGTACCCTGAAATTCTGATGAATGTCTCGCTGTAGCATTAAATAAAAGCATTTGCAGCACCTAGCAACTGAGAGCTATGTTGTAATCCAGAGCAAGTGAGTTAAGACTATTACAAAGGTCTTCTGAAATCATTCTATCTAAAACTTGCCCAGAGATTTGTTTTAGGAAAAAAAGATTGGTAGTCAAATTGCAAAATATGCATATTTATCCTTGACAGTAGTATATTTCTCTAAATTTGTTGCTTCTGTTAATAGAAGAGAGACTGAGATAAGAGCAAAGTAGAATTGCTATGGAGACAGATCTGGGTTTCTAGTCTAATTCTAAGGTTTAATTAGCATTAGTCCTTCAAAAATATTTTCAAAAATATTTTTAAATAGAAAATATTTACTCAAGATTTTATAAAGCTCACACAGTGAGCTCCTCTCTGTGATTTATAGTTAGTAAATGTTTTAGTAGATTGGAGATGAATTTTCAAAGGAAAATACCAACAGATAAAAGATAAACTCTGCATTCCATTCCTTTCAGCTAGATCTTTAGAAATGGGAACAAGATAGTCTTGAATGTGCCTTGACACTTCAGATCTGTGTGCCCTGTATATCTGCACACTGGTATTTTGTTCACAACAATTACTGCTCTTGATGTCTGCTGGAAATGCATGCTGTGCCTTCACTTGGAGCACTCAGGGATGTCTCTCAGGTTCTAACTAAAATACATGTAATTTTGTACTTTGGTTTTCATGTTTCATTCAGACTATGCATCCAGTCTTTAATAATGCCTTCTATATAGAGGTTTACAGGACCAAATAATCTAGTGTGCTTTTCTCCAGTGGGAAGACCATGAGAAGAAGTAATTCTTTCCTGATACCTACTACTTGTGTGAATTGCCAGTACAATAAATTAGATCTTTCTTTTTGTGAGTCTTGCTGTCTGTGAAGTAAGAACAAGCTGATTTTTAGAGGTAAAGTGACATCAATGGAGTGCTGTCCCCTGAAATGGGAATTGAAAAAATAGAATTGTATGAAAGAATCCCACACAGAATTTGGTACCCTTATACTTAGTTGAAGAAGTTGAAAACCTTTCATTTCCTTTTTAAGTAGCAACTGATGGCGCCATGATTGAGACTGTTCCCTTCTCTTTCACAGTATGGTGCTCCTGGAGCTCCTTGCCTCAGAAACAGTGTTGCTAAGTTAGAAAGTCATGTAAATCACAAATTCAGAGTTATTGAGGACTTCTATGTTTGAGATAGTCTTGTGATGAATGTTTTTTCATTTAGGGTGTATTTTCTAAAATATTAGTCAGAAAATATCCCATTAGAAGACGTGAAATCGGGTCTCTAATTACAACCATCACCTCCCTCTAAATTGACTGTAATTCTAGGAGGGTTGTAGTTGCTGTGTCATTATTTTAAAGTATAACATTTACCTGTGAGGCTACTAAGAGCAAAAGTCAAAGCAAGTGGGAGGGAAGCTACTGTGTTAGAGCAGTGTTAAACTAGCCCCAGATGTAGAATGTTATCCTGTCTCTCTGCTTCCCTGGGTTTAATTTGTTTGAGGTATCACTGAGGAGTGGAAGGAGAGATAGATGTGTTGAGTAAGAATACCCAAATTAGGAAAGATGTTTGACTTTCAGGAACTGGGTTGATGTTCAAAAACCAGTCTTTGTTGTTGACAAGAAAAACGTGTGTGGGGGGCAGAGTTGTGACCGTGTTCACAGGGCTCTTAGGAGGAGGGGAGAGATGAGGATCTGACTCCATGTTTCAGAAGGCTTGATTTATTATTTTATGATATATATTATATTAAAACTATACTAAAAGAATAGAGGAAAGGGTTTCATCAGAAGGCTGGCTAAGAATAGAAAAAGAAAGAATGATAACAAAGGCTTGTGGCTTGGACTCTGTGTCGGAGCCAGCTCACTGTGATTGGCCATTAATTAGAAGCAACCAACATGGGCCAATCCAAGATGCACCTGTTGCATTCCACAGCAGCAGATAACCATTGTTTACATTTTGTTCCTGAGGCCTCTCAGCTTCTCAGGAGGAAAAATCCTAAGGAAAGGATTTTTCATAAAAGATGTCAGTGACAGAGAGTGTCACAGAATTTGGAAGCAGCATCACACAGTTAATATTCTGTGGCAAGAACTTGTGTGTTTCATGAGGAGGTTAAAAGTGGTGTCTTAGAAAAGTGATGTGTGAAGATTATTTACTTAAAAAAGGATAATTTGAAAAGACAGAAGTGTCCTACTTCATGAATTCAAGTCTTACTGACTCATTTGTCTGAGTTTGGCTTTAGTTTGCTTTTTGCCCTTTCTTTACCTTTTATTCTATTGCAGATTCTGTTTCTCAACATATTTGTGGGACTAAGGAAGGATCTTTGAGTAACTATACAAGTACATATGAGTGTACAAATAATCCATATTCTTTATGGGCTTCTGGATTCTGTGTACTTGGCACAATGCAAGTCAATCAAATGCATAGAAGCTAATGTTTGTATAACAGGTTAGAAAAGCTATGTTTGTAACACAAATCTTTTGATTTTGGTTTGGTTTTTTTCTTGTGAGGGTGCACTAGACTGCAGAATAGAACTCTGTCTTTGAAACTACCACAAAATATTTTCCCCATCCCTCGATTCCTTAACACCAGGAAAATACATTGGGGAATAATATTGCCATTATCAGTCAACTCTCCTTGCATGAGAACATTGTATTTGTGGCTGTTCTTCACTCAGAAAACACAGAATTCCTTGCTTCTATCTCAAATGAAAAGGTATTGAAACTTGTCTCCTTCAGTCAAATCCGTTCTGGGAATTACTTATAGTGCCTAATTCTAAAGTAATCTTTACTTTTACATAGTCTGAGTATGCAGGGTGCTGTGTGTTTGAGCACTCTGACACTAGAACTGGTGTTCTAGTAAACTGACACCTCCCATTGTCAGACTACACTGTCAGTTGGGCTTCTGGCCTCAATACTGGACACCTTTAACAGCGTGTTAAGAAAGGGCTTTTTCCTTTTTTTGCTTATTCATCTTTGCCAGTAAAGTACATAAGCTAACACTCTAGGGAACTGTTTTGGAAGGAAGTTTTTTTTTTTACTATGTAAATATTTATAAGTGGCTAGAAATTTGACTTCATGGTTTCAGACTGGCAGAATTCACAGGGGACTTTTGGCTCATAATCAAACACATCTTTATTTTATGTTCACTGTACAGAAGGAACAGAATTTTTGAATGCAGCCTTTGTTGTAGTACTTTAGATTATCCTTGGGATTTTTAGTGAGGAATGTAAGGAAGTGAGTTTCTAAGAAAAACTTTTTTCTAAGAAAAAATACCTATAGCTTATATCCATGCTTTTTCTGTACTGGTTGCTGAAAGCAGAGGACAACTCTGGTGTGTTCATTAAAATTTGTCTGGCTGATGGTATGTGAAGGCTTTTCTGGTTTAGTGCTGTACTGGTGTTACCCATACATGAGCTGAGAGGGCTGTGTAAAATTGAGGCCAGGGTGCTGTCCATTCAGAGAAGATGCAGTTCACAAGCTGAGTGGAGCCAACAAAATGTGTTGCCACAGTGAACAAACAGAACTTCTGGACTGTTGTGTCAGTTGTTGGGTTTGTGGTTGCAGCACTGTGGTTTCTTATTTCTGAGAGTGCTGGTCTTTGGAGTGTGAGGTCCAACAGGTTGGTGAGATGGGCACGTAGCAATTTGTGTTGGTAATGGAGCTGCAGTTGTATATGGGTAAGGTTAAATAGGATAATTTCCTCTGAAGCTTGCTATGAAAGAAACAAAGTGTGCCCAAGGCCACTCACATGCATTCATTTTACATCCCCTCAATAAAATGAATTAATCTGGGGAAAATGGCTTTTAGGAGGAAAAATACAATAAAATCATGCAGTGGATAGTAGTTCATTCATTTTCTGCTTCTGAGTAATGTTTCTATATACTGCTGCTGTATAGAGATAATTATCCCCTTGAGATAGTGATAAAAGGTGGTAAGGGAACCACTACATTGGGCTTAACCTCTCAAAATGGAAGTAAAAACAAGTAGATGGTCTTCTGGAACTTTGCAGAAGTGTGAGTTAACTTTGATTTGTTTAATTCCCATAAGTTTTGATTTTTCACCCATACAATAATGGATACAAATATTGTTGTATCTATTAGTGTATTTTTTTGCTGTATCTATGCTGTACTATAATTCTGGGCAAGTTCTTCAACTGTTCTGTATACAGAATGACTTATCAGGATATGGCTTTTTCTTTTGTCTTTTTCCATGCAGATCACCCCTGGCAGCAAGGCAGCACAATCACAGATGAACCAGGGAGACCTTGTCGTGGCCATTGATGGAGTCAACACTGACAGCATGACCCACCTGGAGGCCCAGAACAAGATCAAATCAGCCAGCCACAACCTGAGCCTCACTCTGCAGAAGTATGTTGGAATAATTTAAACTTGTTGTCTCCCTAAGGACAACCTATGAAACTTATGACTGAAGGTTGCAAGTGTTTTATCCTTGTCTATTAGATTTAATTGAAGTGCTCATGGCACAGATATGAGATGAAAAGCCAAAATCTGCTCTGATTCTTGTAGAGGTCAGCATGGATTCATACAGAAATCGAATGGTTGGGTTGAGTCTATCTGTGTGGATTTAGCCTATTGAATACAGGTGTAATCCCATATCCATTCAAACTTCTGTTAAATTAATCCAACAGTGATGTTTCTTTTGGTTATTCTCATGTGGGCAACACAGTTTAGTTTGGCTAATTTATGAACAACTGTTCTACAGACAAGAAACAGAGCAAGTGTTACAAGTGCATGGGAAGAACCTCATGAGAATTTGTGCCAATGGTGTGGCACCTGTGAGTTTGAAAGTCTGCTCTGTATCTGACCCAATTAGAAAGGTGTAGCTCAAGTGCAGGGAAGGGAGGCAGTAGAATGTGGAGAGGGCAGGTTTTACCACAGAGATGTGATAAAAGTTGTCTTGCCATTAAGAAAACAGTTAATAGGTTTTTTTAACTTCTGCTGGTTAATGTTACTTTGAAGGAAATTTGTTCTCAAGTTAGATAACCTTGTACAGAGGATTTCTGTAATAAATGCATTAATATTTAAAGCTCCATAATTATAGAAAGCAAAGTAGCTGCTAATTTTATTGCATTGTGAAGAAGATAATTTTTGTACAGGGCAGGCAAAGCTAAGTACAGGAAGCACACTGTAATGTGGAAGTACAATTTCTGAGAGAAGAATCTCATATATGAATGTGCAGTAGAGATAATCAATATCAGGAACATACTAATAGCTAAAGAATAAGGAGTTTAGATTAAGTTTCCAAGACAGGACAGGGTACTATGAAGCAAATTATGTGGCTGATTTTCCCCCATGGCTTTAAGTTTGTCTTTGAGTGTTCCAGATAGAGTAGAAAATCACTAACTTGATGCATGTGGTTGAATTCTCATCCTATCACCCACTCCAACTTCTTTTTTCTTTGCTTGGTTATTGTGTTATTATAAATATATTTATGATTTTTTTTGCAAATATTTAAATTGTTCTGAAAAAAATTTCTATTTAAAAATTAGGAAAAATACTTTCTGATTGTTAGAATGTCTGCCTGATTTTCTGTTGAATCTTTGTGTTTTTACCTTGAAAGAAAACATTTCTTATTTTGCTTTGGGTTGTTCCACATTTGGTATTAATTTCCCTGAATATTGAACCCAAAATCTTCTCTGGTGTCTGCCTCTATGGCCTGGCCATAGAGGTTTAAATGGTTTAAAACTACGAACCAACAGCTCTTCTTATTCACAGAAGGATTCCCAAATTCATGACTAACAAATCCGATTATCCTAATACATATCACAGAGACAAGTTACTTAAAACAGTAATTTTGATCAAGTGTTGCTAGGGATATTTCATTTGAGTAATCATTGTGCTTTTTTATTTGCTGACCTCCAAGTTACAACACCAGCAATTCTAGTGGCCACATCATTAAAAAAAAAAAAAAAGAAAACCAGTGGAAGTACCTTTATTAATTGCTTTCATCTCTATTTATTGTGTCTTCTGTTTTTTTTTAAGGCTGTCCCTGTCTCTTGGTTTCAAAACAATAATATATAATTCAGATATTCGAGTTATATGGATAAAGAACCACCAAAGAAAGCAGTAATGGAGTGTTCAGAGACTGAGATATGCTTGCATAGATAATAGATGTAGATATTTTGATAAGAAGGAAAATGGCATAAAGCAAAAGGAAATACTAGCAAACATAAATAGATGATAAAACAGCTTTTTTTATCAAATGAAAATTTTCTCAGATGATGTTTTTGCATTGAATTTATACAATTAATGGACTCCTCTTTTCAGCTACTTCATGATGTGAGCTATTAGTTTGCCTTGGTGACCCGTTCAGCCTCATTAGAAAAACCCAATGAAAAAGACTGAAAAGTAATTTTTTTCATCATTTTTTTCTTAAATGACACCAGGATATTCAAAAAAGTTGTGCTCAGAGGTATTAAGTCGGCTTTACTTAGCGTCTGTAAATTTTGAATTGTGCAAAATCCTAGCAGCAAGTGATATTGACCAACTGAAATACACATAGAACCCTATTAAGGATCCAATGTCTTGAACAAAAGGCATCTCCACTATATTCAGGAAGTTATATTAATCTTGCCTTAAAAATATTTTTTTCCCTGGACAAAAATGGGTTCATTTACCCAAGGAGAAAAAGATTGTCAGTTTAGTCACCTGCCCAAAATGTACAAAGCAATATCCATTTTTCAGCAAAGAATTTTACAAATATTGGGTTGCTGCAAAGAATAACATGAAAAGAAGGTAGCAGTGACAAGGGGTAGTAACTTTCAACCAAATAAGAACAAGACAGAAGAGAGGCAAAATCTCCTGGGACATGGTTACCAGGAAAATGACTGTGCTAAGAGATCACTTTGACTTTTTTTAGACATGGCTTGCAGCAATGAAACTGGAGCAGTGTTCTACTACTATGGAAAAACAGCCCTAGTTGCCATAAAGAGCACAGAGATGGAAGTGCTCACTTATTCTATTTGTATAAAAGTTTGGAAATGCTGGAAATCCTTTCCAATGGAAAAGGTACATATGTGCATTATGAGATTGACTGTTGTGATAGGAAAATTTAAGCTCTAAATTGGGGTGATACTGGACATGTATGTGAAGTAGTCACATGGCTCTAGAGAATGTTTCAAGGTCATGGAATGCCTTAGCAGGCAATCTGTGGCTTGGTTTTGCTGTTGCAGCACTGGAAGTAGAACTGATCTCACTTATTTTATCTGTAAGGCCATGGAAGAAGCAGTGGAATGTGAAATCTTCATGGAAATGCTCCAAGATGGAAAGCTTTTTTTTTTTCCTAATGGTTCTTGGCTCTCTAGAGCAATGGCCTTTCCCTTTATGGGTCGTGGCCGTGAAGGTTTCATGAGCATTGTTTATAACCTGACAGTTAAGACAGTGTTTGCTGCTTCTCACTTTTATTACAACACTTCGTGCCCTGAGGGCTTTTTTCAGGGTGGGGAACTGCTTATTGTTTTAATTTGGCTGTCAAAAAAAGATGTACATGGTGTCAGCACTTGTGCAGGATATCCAACTGCAAGGCATCAATCATAGAAAAAAAGGAAGTGTAAGAGCCCTCATTCATACTTGCCTGCCTAAACAATGGGATTCTGTGATTTCCTTTATGAACTTAGTTTTAATTCAAGTAGCACCTACACTGTTCAAGGCACACTAACACAGACCTTCCATGAATGTTCAGTGCATGGAGTGGAGTTCTCCATGTTTCAGCTGCGGCTTCAGGAATTTGTGGATTTCAAGTGTTTTCGGAAACTGCCTTCCCTAAACTCCCTCTTGAATTTGTTCTTATCACCTCAACCATGCTATGTTTTCATATAAACCCACAAAATTAGACTGGAAGTCTCACCAGCTATGCCAGAGGTTTGATCAGGCAGCCAGAACTTGTTAGTGACTTGAGCTGCATTGTCTGACTGCTGATTTCTCTAGAGCCTGCAGTGTGCCTCCCTTTGCTGTTTCTGGGAATCAAAAAGATGCAGACAGGCAAGTGCTGGGAAGCTGAAGTATTTGGAGAAAGGGACCTGTGATCCAGTGATGTGGCAATGTCTGGGACCCTCCAGACTAGCACTGCTTCATTAAGTTTAGAAGACAAAGTACATCTAGGAAGTGAATTCTTTTTTGCTGAAGAAAAGAGCAGGAGTGAGAGGAGAAGAAAAGAAGTGTCTTTTGGCACTGTGCATTATTACTCAGCAGAACTCCCATGAGGCACTCAGGGAAACCAGGCTCATATTCTAAAGTGTTACATACCTCTATAGATATTCCTTAGAAACCTGCATTGCTCTAAGTGTACTGGGAGAGGATTGGTGCTGGTTCTGCTGGACTATGCTGTGGAAAGCTATGATCATACTCTATAATGGCCTGGGTTGGGGTGGAAAAAAGACATTGCTTTGCTTTTAGTCTTTTTGTGACCTCCTGGAGTTCAGTTCTCAGTCATTTTTCAGTATCAGTTTCTAATCAGTTACTTGAGCTACACAGCTGCCCTCAGGCATTTTAATTCTAGGCCAGTCAAAGTTCATCTTTAATTGTCTGTCTGTCCCACAGATATTAGGCCATAAACATCAGATTGTGCAGTATTCAGTTCACAGTGAAAAACAAAATGCATGCAAAGTCTATTTTTATTTCATACAAATGGGTTTCTCTCTTAAATGCACAGTAAATACAAGAGAGCAGCATTATTTGTCAACATGTTTCACTGGAGCATCCACACCATAACTCAAGTAATCTGATCAGCCTCCTTGGAAAGGATTCACCAAATGTACTGGCTTAGTTTTGGAAAGTGCTGTAACCTGAGTGTGCCTCATTCTGCTGGCACAAACATTCCTGTGTCACTCTAAGGCTCCGCTTTGGCGTCACTCTGTGCTGCTGGAAAGGAGCAGGGGAGGTGGAGACTTCTGTGCAGGGTGCACATTGACAAGAATTCCCCCTCCCAGGGCATGCCAGTGATGCTACCCTTTGCTTTCAGACAGTCACAATTGGCTGTCTTTTGCTGGAAAATCATGAGCTAAATAATTCTTTTCTCTACTGAAAGGGAAAGTGTCAGAGGTGAGGCTATGAGAGACTTACGGTAAATATTTAATAGCTTTCCTTTTTTGTGCAGCACCAAAAGATGGCTGATCCTGCAGTATTTATTTCAGGCCTACTATAAATAAAGCATGTGGTGACAGCAAACTGCAAGCAAGGGGAGCTCAGTGGTTATTGTAAACTGCTTTCTTTTGTCTGAGGCTGGGTGTAGTAACCAATTCTTTGCATGTTTTAGGTCTGCTGATGGACTCACTTAAATCAGAACCAGAATAGAGCTGCATTTATGCTGAGAAGAATTAAAAGATGGTAACTCTTCCAGTTCAGGGTAA